CGCCCCCGCGTCCGGCAAGACCCCAACACCTTGCCCACAGACGCGGGGCGCTCCTCCGCTCGCGTCCCCAGCCCCCGGGAGCTGTGGGGGTCTCCGGCAGCCATGCTCCCCTGGCATCCTCGGCATCCCACTTCCCTCCAGCAGAGTGCCAGCCCCTCCAGCCCCCCAAAAACCACACTCTGCTTCGCACAGCACCTCGTTGAACCGGGCACAGCCCGAACCGTGCGCTCTGCCACCGGTCCTGGGGGAGGACACCGCCTGCCACCCGCTCCTCAAACCCCAGCTGCCTCCCAGTCCCCTTTGGTCGAAAGATCCCGCGAAGAAAAGCTGGCGGAGGTTCCTGCTGCCTGCCAGGGGAGACACAGATCCCCTTCACACCCCAGTGGTCTGCGGGGTTAAACCAAACCGACCCCCCGGGACGCGGCAGCGGGATGGGCTGGGGCTGTGCTGTCTGACACGGGGGTTTCACAAAGCCCCCGGCCCCTCTTGATGCCTCCCAGACGAAGGGAGGGTCTGGGAAGACAGGTCACCGGCAAGGCTAAGGGGAGGCACCTGCCTTTGAATTTTTTCTGACAAATTTCATCACCCTGCTTGAGCAGGAACCCCCAAACATCACATTTTGAACTAGCTCACGGGTTAGCAAAAAAACCCACCCTCAAACACACACCCCAAAACCCAATCCAAACCCACTTCCTCTCCCTAAGGTATTAGCTTGATGCCTGGTGATGGTGCACTCCTCTCGCTGTGCTCCGGCGCTGAAGAGAACTCCCCCATTGCACACCCTGGGGGCTCCCCTCGGTCCTTCGTACGCCCCCCGAGCTGCCTCCTCCTGGCCCCGCTTCTCCTCACGGCCACCCCGAAGAGGAAGGGCGGCCGGACTCATGCCTGCCGGTGGGCTAAAACCAGCCAAGCGCAGGAAACCCATTCCTATCGCAGGCAGAGGGAGCAGAGGGGATGCTGCAGCGCTTCCACCCGCACAGAGCATCGCCGCCCCAGCGTCCCAGCGCCCGGCAGCGCTTGCGTGCGGCTCGGCGCGCTCCCCTGCTTCGAAGCAGACCCAGGCCTCGGGCTGCCCCAGCAGTCGGCCCTTAATTCGTGGGCAGGTTTAGCTGGATTAAACCCCGTTTTCAGCGCAAAATATTTTACAAACCGTTTTGGACTCGGCGTGTGAGGTGGGACATGCCCAGAGCGTGCTGAGATGTCTGCAGAAGAGGGTGCTTTGGGTTTTGTTTGAGCACCAACACATTTACGTCCCGAGGAAATACGTTAACTAACACGCACTGTTATCTTCCGTAGGGAGCAGCAAATTGCTGGCATGTCAGTACTCAGAACGAGCTTCTCCAGTGCAGCAGTTCACAGCAGAGAAACGACAGAGCCCAAGATCTCATCAGCAACATGAAGCCCACCGTCGTGCTGTCAAGAGCAAACTCTCAATGCCACTCTCAATGGCCTTTTTTTTTTCCCTTCTCATCATTAAAAGGCTCAGAAAGCACTGCCATCAGCCTGTCCTGGAGTTGACAGAAGGCAGTTCAGACTCTGAAGCTCCTTCACACAAGGACGCAAGGGGAAGTAACAAAAAATGCTGGAATAACAGAATTACCAGCTTGCAAGATGGCACTTCTCATTTCACTCCCAGTGTCCCTTGAAGACCAGCTTGAACAGAAGCAGGATCGCCCACACAC